AAGGAGGGGCAATCTCCTCCTATATTGATTAACTGCCTCTGAAAACCGCTGGAAGGTTAGTTATGAGTGGGTTCCTACTTGATGGCACAAAACAGCAATCAAGGAATATGCCCTCTTTAAGAGTAAACCCAATCTCAATCAATCGAACTCTCTCAATATATCTCTCAATACCTCTCTCTCAGTGTGTTTGTCTATCATCTATATATCTATACACACATACACACATGTTTGATGAACTCTAATATTGCCAATCAGAAGTGATTACCCTGGAAAAAAGAGTGAGTATTCTAGGCACTATTTAGCGAAGTAAGAAAGTATTTACCCTATAATACTGAGCAGAAAAACTTCGCAACTAGCAGCTGCACTATAATTAGAAGTATTTGAAATTGCAGTCACACCAAAGGCTAGATGAGACAGACGAGAGTAACGGTAGAATGTTAGAATTTTCTAATGAAATGATATTTCATGTTAACGTTATATTAGACACCCTGGTACTGTGGTTAAAGCACACATTTGCCGACCAGATCTCTGTGGATCAAACTCACCAGCTGCTTCAGCAGAGAAAGATGTGACAGTCTACCTTTATAAAGATTTACAGCCTTGTAAACTCTGTGGGATAGTTCTGTCCAGTCTAAACTTTCCGTGAGTCAAAACCACCTGGGCAGAAGGAATACGCAGAGTCACTGTACCAAAAAGAACTGAATGGCAGAGAAGAAATTCATGAGACAACATATGACTCAATGGTGATGAAAGAGGAAGTTCAAATGCTGTGAAGAAGCTGCAAAAAACAAGACCCCAGGAATGAATGGCATAGCAGTTGACATATTTAAACAGACAGATGCAGTCCTGGATGTACTCACCAGGATGTGTCAGGACAGCTGGAGGACAGGTACCTGCCCAAGTGACTGGAAGAGATCTGTTTTTATTACAATTCCAAAAAAAGGAGATCAAACAGAATTTGGAAATTCTCGAACAATATCACTGATACCACACACAAGCAGAATCCTGCAAAGGATTATGCAAAAATGACTAGAACAGTACATCAATAGAGAACTTCCAAGTGTCTTGGGGTTTAAAGAGGCCGTGGCACCAGGGACATCACAGCCAATATCAGATGGGCTGAAAACAGAGTACCCGAGGGATGTGTTTCATTGACTTTGCAAAAGCATTTGCCTGTGTTGATCACAATAAATCACGGCTAGCATTAAGAAGAATGAGGATCCCAAAACACTTAATTGTGCTCATATGAAACTCATACTTGGACCAGGAAGCAGTAGTTACAACAGAGCAAGGAAACACTGCATGATTTAAAATCAGGAAAGGAGTGCATCAGGGATGCATCTTGTCTCCGTACCTTTTCTTTCAGGAGGCTGGACTTTGAGGTAGAATGTGGCATCAGGATTGGAGGAAGACTCATCAACAACCTGCATTATGCAGATGATGCACCCTTGCTTGCAGGAACTGAAGAGGATCTGAGACATTTGCTGAAGAATGTCAAGGACTGCAGTCTCAACTGTGGATTGAAGCTCAACATCAAAAAAAATAATTCTGATCACTGAGCCCTATCTGTCACTATGATAGATGGAGAAGAGATTGTTAACAATTTCAGCTTGCTTAGTGGTTCCACAATCAGCACTCTTGGCATCACCAGTGAGGAAATCAGAAGATTAATTGCATTAGGTCAGTCTACTGTCAGAGACTTCTCCAGAGTGCTCAAGACCAGTGATGTCAGTCTAGACTAAGGTGCACGTGATCCAGCCCATGGTCTTCACAGTTACTTGATACACATGAGAAAGCAGGACAGTGTCTAAAGGATGATAGAAGAAGAATCATTGCCTTTGAGTTGTGGTACTGGAGAAGAATATTGAACATACCAGGCTGCCAAGAGAACAAACATATCTGTCCTGGAGAAGGTGAAACCAAGTCCTTCCTCATTGGAGGCAAGGATTTTGAAGCTCCATCTCATATACTTGGGGCACATTGACAGGAGGGACCAGTCCTTGGAGGGGTGGAGGGTCAGTGCAGGAGAGGAAGACCCTGGATGTTATGGGGACAGGTACATCAGATACTTTGAGATTGGTATATGATAGGACAGGGTTCAGAGCTATTTTTCATAGGGTCATTATGGCTTGCAGGCAACTTGACAGCATATATCAAAAGTAACAGTATATGATTTGGTTCCAAATTCTTTGTAAAAACTGTTTTCTCCTCTCTCTGATCTGAATCATGAAATGAAATATGTTGAATATGTGTTTGTGGATTACAATTAGAGCCAAAACCCAACCTCACAGTTTTTGTGCTTTGACACATGGCCACCCTCCACAGTGTTTCTGAGGCGTAAATATTAATAAAATCAAGCACTCCTTCAGTTCATTTTGAACTACTGATTTCCGTTTTGCAGCTCTACATAGTTCATTATGCCACCAAGTAAATCTAAGGTTCTATTTTTGGAGATTAAACATTTTCTTGAGTGTATCAGAAACACACAAAACTCATACTCAACAATTCCGAAATTGCTATTATTTATTAATGGTGATTATAGAGAAAAATATGTTTCCAAAAACAAAGTCCCTGAGTGGTAGAAGCACCTAGCAGAAATATCAGTGGTTCAGATGCACCTATAGAGTGTTCGATTCTGTTTCTAATGGTTACAGCCTAGAACACACTGTGGAGTGCAGTGTGTCTGCAACACACAGTGTCCTTGAGTCAGAATCAATGCAAACAAATGAATTCAGGGTTTTTGTGCATTTTTGTGTATATCTCCTTTACATCTGCAAATCCTTCTGAGAAACTCCAGACCTGATTTTGATTTCTGGGTAACACCTTTGTTTTTCCAAATACAAATCCTTATTTCCATCTCATCAACAAAATAATAATAATAGTTAGCATTTCTCTTTCTTGCATAACTCAAAGTGCTCAGCACCAGCATTTGCCTACTTTATGAAAAAATACTTGAAAAAGTTTCCTGAAAAGTGTAAACTAGGAAAACAGAGCATCTGTGTTGTAGATAGCCCTCTTGTGGTAAAGAGGCCAAAGTATCCAAAGAGAACTCTGGGAGCCGTCATGTATGAACAGGCACAGTGAGAAGAGTTGATAGACAATGACCACGGAATTGGAACTCATGAGGTAGCGAACTGTTGAAAAGGATAATATGATTAGGCGTTTATATGTAAGACAACGGTCCACAATAAGTTACATTGCAAAGAGAACTGGAGCAGAGGAGAGGAAAGACGGGGAGGGAGGAAATTGGGCAACAATAAATGAATTTTTTTTTTAAAAGGAAACTGAAGGGGGGGTCAGGGAGGAATATGCAACAATAAATGAAAACCCCACTTTTCTGTAAACTTTCATTAAATCACAAATAAAAGTTTTTTAAAAATAAAGTTATGAATAACATTAAAAAGATAAAAAAATGAGTATGTCAGGTTAAATTTAACAGAAGAATCCATTTTCACCATATCCTGAGCATCCCTTGGCAAATTAACAGATCCAAAGCTAACATCCGATAGGAAAAACTAGTCTCTGTTCTGTTTCGTATGAAAAATTAGTGTCTCTTCTCTTTCATATAGCTACTGCATCAATCTTTAATAACCAAAGCAGAGCTCATAGAAGGATTTTAGTTTTAAACAACAACAACAAACTATATTATTTTTAATATTTTTCATTTTGACATAGTTCTAGAATTTCACAAAACTTGCAAAAATATAGAACCTAGACTTTGTGGCTACCCAGCACCCAGTTATCCTACGTATCAACATCTCGTAAAACTGCAATATGACTTAGCAAACCAGAACATTACTACTGAGAAACTCTTAGTAATCTACAGTCATTAACTCAGTTTCTCTGATATCCTTTTTCCACAATGCGCTTAGTCTCCTCGACTCTGAGACAGTATCCCCATCTTTTTTTATCTTTCATGCCTTGACACTTAGGAAAACTTCTGGTCAATTATTGTGTTAACCATTTATCGTCTTGGGTTGTGTTATGATTCTCCATGATTAAATTCAAGTTGTGGATTTTCAGGAGTAATGCCACTCAAGAGATGTTTGTTCTCGTGATTCATCACTTCAGTGTAAGCATGCTATCCTTGGCACATGCCAGCTGATGTTTACTTGGATCGCTTGGCTAACGTGGTGTCTGCCAGGTTTCTTTACTGGGAAGTTATTACTGGGGAAGCAGGGCGTGTCAAATTAATTCTAGATTAGCTGCTTGACCATAATTAAAATAAATAATGCATTTTATGTCTCATAGGGATTTTCTATAATGTGGCTGTCTTTGTGCACTAAACTAGTAATTGCTCAAGTTATTTTTTTTATTAATTTTAATGAAATTTTACAGAGACTTAGGGTTTCCTTGCACTTTGCTCCCTGCCCCCTCCCTCCCACCCCAGTTCACTTTTCTCCTTGATAAGTAAAAGAAAAACTCTTTCATTGCTATGTAATCACTGCCCCCCAAGTCCATTGAACGGTGCAGCCTTCATTCCGGACTCTTGTCATGACAATAATACCCAATCATATATCCCTTTTAAACAGTTCTCTCCCTCATCTGTTGCAATGCTGTATGCATCATTCCTCCTCTTCTTCTCTGTCTTCCCTCTACCCCAGTGTCAGTCCTGTTTTACAACAGTGGCCTTATGAAATGTTTGTCCTTTTGTGACTGAGATATTTCACTCAGCATAATGTCCTCTAGGGTCATCCACTTTGCATAATATTTCGTGAGTTCCATCTTTTTCAGTGCTCTATCATATTCCATTGTGTGAGTATACCATAGCTTCTCTATCCATTCATTTGTTGATGGGCACTTGGATTGTTTCCAGCTCTTTCCTATTTCGAACAAAGCCTCAATAAACATGGGTGTGCATATATTTTTACGGGTTTATTTGTTGTTTGTTTGTTTTCATATCATCTCCTTTCCTAACACTGCTCTCGCCCTGTCAGATTTAATCGGAGAGAACCTCGGTGTACGCATAGACTGAACCTCATGCACTTGATAACCCACAGGTGTGTCGAGAGTACCAGCGTGGCAATTGCAACAGAGGAGAGAATGATTGTCGGTTTGCGCATCCGGCGGACAGCACAATGATTGACACCAATGACAACACGGTGACCGTGTGTATGGATTACATCAAAGGGCGTTGCTCTCGGGAAAAGTGCAAATACTTTCACCCTCCTGCACACCTGCAAGCCAAGATTAAGGCTGCCCAATACCAGGTCAACCAGGCTGCAGCGGCACAGGCTGCAGCCACCGCAGCTGCCATGGTGAGTAGAGACGCCAGCTCTCCTTGTTAGCAGTCCGAAAGACAACCTGAACAGCTCTGTCTGACTACATGCTATTCATTTATTAACTTCCTTAAGAAAATAAAAAAATTGTTCTGGCTGAAAATATGTTTGTTCAGGTATCCCAGACAATATATAAAGAGTTTACTGTTCGCAGAAGTGCGAGATGCTCCTCAGAGGATTCAGACTGCTTCTTCCCTTGGCCTAACTCTTAATACTCTTGTCTACTCTGGATGGAGGGATTCTGAGGTTTCTGCTTGTGTAAAGAGCCCCCCTGCCTTCTTTTCAATTTAACGATACTGCCATTTTCAGTCCTCTTATTTCTGTGTGCCATCTAATCAGCCATTGTTACCCTTTGGTGTGTTCTTTTGAACATCAAGACTCTTCTCTAAATGTATCTTGCTTTTACCAATAACATAATCTGGAACTGTTTAGGGGAATTGTTTCAACACCATTGCTTATAACGTTGGCGACAAAACTTTTTAAGACTGTGCTATCTTGTTTTGAAGAGTATTGTGGCATAAAAACATGATTGTAAAAAACTAGAGAAACTTTACTACTATGCCATCGTATACAGAGCAGAAAGACAGTAGCCATCAGGGAGTGAGCAATTGGATCACTTAAAATAGATACTGAAATATATTCTGAAGGTAAATTCTAAAGTGATCTCAGTAGCTGAATTTAATGAGTCTATTCTTTGTCCTTTGCTTAGCTCTTGTAATGTTGTCCTTTTTTACACAAATACATGACTTAATCATGAAAATATTCTGTAGCACAGTAGAACGATTGTGAGAGAGGGCTTTTCTGTGTTTGTGTACGGATACTTGAGCAAAAATACAGAAGGCAAACTCTCTCTCCTTCTCCTTTCACTTTTTTTTTCTGTTAGAATATCTTGTTTGTAATTAACTACAAAGAGGAGTTATCTCCCCAATAACAACTCAGTAGTGCCTTTATTGTGCATGCTTAGTCTTGTTATTCGTTGTATATGGCATTCCGATGATTTGTTTTTTTATTTGTTTTTTCTCACCTACCCAAAAATGCACTGCTGCCCCCATGATGCACCTCTGCTTGCTGTTTATGTTAATGCGCTTGAATCCCACTGGCCCATTGCCATCATGTGCTCGCTGCCTGCTAATTAAGACTCAGTCGGCTGTCAAATCACTGAAGCGACCCCTCGAGGCAACCTTTGACCTGGTACTATGACCTTTCACCTTTTAGCTTGGCATGTAGCTTTATTGTAGATACAAGTTTTTTGTTTTGTTTTGTTTTCATCAGTTTAAAAAAAACCCTATATCTATATATATATTTCGTTTGTAAAGTTTTAAAGTACAATGAAAAACTGAGTGTGGTTTCCTGACAAACTTAGTAGAAAGACTCTATCTAATCTTTGTAAGTGGATGGATAGCATATAAGGCAAGATTCTGCAAACCCAGCAGCCCACATTCAGTTTAATTGCATTCTAGAATGTTCTAATGAAATACTTGGAGGACGTTAAGAGTGTATTCTTGACTGTACATTTATATACCTGTTTGGTTAGCATGGCTGTACTGGTATAATTCTTTACGTGTAAGATGTAAGTTTAGAGTGTAGGAAAGGAGCAAAAGAAAAAACTTGCATGCTTGGGGACCTTTGGGGATGTGTGCATGTGGGCATAGCTCCAGGGGGTGGAGCTAAGGGGGATCAGGTTTGATTTTACCTGTTTCGGTCACTGTACAATTAACTATTAACATTGCTTATCCCGTTGGTCCTCATGGAGCGCGCAGTGTGGCTTTTCTTTTTGCCCCCAAACCAATGGCTTCCCATGGAAAGCCTGAAGCATTATGGGACGTAAAACACTATTACACGTTTTATAACATGAGCTCTCATACTAGTGGGGAGTTGTTATGGACAAAAATAATGCTTCTTTCAAAGCTTTTATCTTGCCTAATTTTTTTTGTTTTGTTTTGTTTTTTTCCTTTGAAATTTGATTTGTTGGTTTTTCTCTCCCTGGGATAGTTAAGTGCTCTGCTGCTTGCTCGCCTGTGCTCCCTAACAACTACAGCCTTCAACTGATTGTTCTTTTTTTTTTTTTCTTTTTTTCTCTTTTTACTGGTATTTGTTTTTTATACTCACTCACTAAACAGGGAATTCCTCAAGCTGTACTTCCCCCATTACCAAAGAGGCCTGCCCTTGAAAAAACCAACGGTGCCACTGCAGTCTTTAACACTGGGATTTTCCAATACCAACAGGCGCTAGCCAACATGCAGCTTCAGCAGCATACAGCATTCCTCCCACCAGGTAAGGAGTGTGGGGTCATCAGTGCAGGAAGCTCCTAGTCCATCGACAGTCCCTCTGGTAGTGCAGATAGTAAGCCTAAGTTAACTTGTAGTCCTAGATGAGAAATACGGTAAGGTGGTCAATGGTGGAAATTTTCCTGAAGTATATTTGTCTTATGTTTTCCTGAACAGCTAAACATTTTTAGTTACATGACATGACCAAAGAATTGTTAAATGTATATCTGTTTCTCCTTTTGCATAATTTGGAATTGAAATATACTTCTCTTTTTCCCCCTCCCTCTTCCGTCAACACTGTTATATGTCTGTCAAGCTATCTTATGATACTCTCTTGCTGTAAGACCCCTTTGCCTTCATGATTCCAGAGTTAATTTGAAATACATCCAAAGACACGGTCAGTTGGATGGGGTTTTGTTCCCCTGCCTTTTGATTTTCAAGGTCAAGAATAAAAAACACAGAAACAAACAAACAAAAAAAACACAACTGACTGTGTCTTCTAAAAATGTTTTAAGGATGAAAAAAACTGAATGTGTCCCCTAAAAATTTTTAAAAAGTGCTCTGATTGGTACCATTCAGTACATTGCTTAGATTTTTGTTGTTCCTAATATTATAATATTCCAAGTGTCCAGATCTGTTTACATTTATAATTATGTTATTGATTTGTGGTTTCAGTGAATTTTAGGTTAGTCACATAAACATGCTCTACAGCTTTTCACAAAGAATTAAAATTTTTTTTTCCTATAATTATATTTTATTAATTTTCATAAACATTTACAGAGATTTTGGGCTTCCAGTCATTCATTGTTGCATTATTCTCTCTACCCTCCTCCCAGTTTGTTCTTGTCCAAATGCCACAGTGCTTGTCAAAGCCAGTTCTGATTAATCTTCTTTGTCAGTGTATCCTTTGCCATTCCCTATCACTCCTCCCTGAGAGAGACTTCACCCTGATTCATAAGGAAAAGGGGATGGCGTATTCTCTTAGCTACTTCCTGCTGAAAAGGGACGCTGTGGGTTTCAGGGTGCAGATCTTCTCTCACTACTCTAAAGGGCCCCTTTGGCAGTAGGAAACACATAGACTATTATGGAGATTGATTTTGGAATTCAGATGCACTCTTATTGATTGTGCTTGGCTGTACATGTACATATCCTTGAAGATGTATCAAGAATTAAAATTTTAAAACATTGAAAAAAGTATTTTATTAAAATCACTATTTTTGTTCTGATTTTATTTCAAAGAAAATTAAATGCCTCTTAATTTGGAATTCAGATTCTCCCTTTCTATGTAGGACACTCAGATTCAAGTCCCAGTTAGTATAGCTCGAATGCAGCCCCTAGTCATCTGTCTGTGGATGCTTGGGCATTGTTTGATGCAATAAAGGTTGAGGAGACCTTCCAGATTAACACAGGCTAGGAAGAAAGACCTGATGGTTCACTCTTGAAAAAAGCCTGGCCAGCCAGTGAAAACTTTGGAGATAGGTCAAAGACTGACATGAAGATAGCCAAGAACAACAGCATAAGTGACACCCACTCTTGGAACCTCAGACTAGAGTTTAAAATCCACCTCTGTTGTAATTTCTATCCTCCCAGTAACTTCGTTGAAGGTAATAATTATTCCGCAGGGTTGTATTTAGATGAGTTACAAACTTAACATTGACAGTACATTCTCTTAAAGCCCTTTTATAGGGCCAAGAGTTGTAAAGAATGTCTAGAAGGTTGTAAGCACTCAAAAAGTTTTCTTTCTGGAAATTATTAGTATGAGAGAATAGAGTGTCATAGATGAAATGGAAACAGGATTATGTGATTGAAGTAGTTTCTCAAGTCAATTTTGAGAAAAATAGAATTGCTCATGAAATTTAGTCCTAACATAACGTTCAGTTCTTTAAAAAAAAAAAAATTCTTAAGTCAGCCCAGTACTTCTTATAATAAATCCCCTTATAATAAATCCAAATAGGCCAGAATTCTATCAGATTACAAGTGCCTACTAAATCTCAATTACAGTTCTTTTTTCTCTCTTCCTTCTCCTTGAAGTAATTCTTAGTTATGCACACATTTCCTTTGTAAATCTCCATCCTAGTTGTTTTCTTACACCTTCATATACAAGATAAATGATAAAATTTAATTTTTAAAAGTTTGTGGTTAAAGTAATGTATTCTTAGAAACCCTGGTGAAGGACATTTGAAATTAAAAAAAACACAAACCATACTCACTTAAATTTGGCTTTGTGCTGAAAATTGAGGGGAAAAATACATTGGCTCTTTTCTCATGGTTACAAATAAATCAACCCATTTGAAGCAAAGATGTATGTCATGAGTATTCGAAAAGTGTATTTGTCTTCGGTAAGTGGGTCCTACAGCATTATGTCTTCATTTTTGTGAGTTATTGCACCCTGGCTAGTATTTTCATTGCTGCCTTATGTTTATTTGCTGCAAATCCCTCCCCAAAACTGTGTGCGTTGGTTATAATGCTAATGAGAGAGAGAAAATAAAATTCCAATCATTAAAGTGTTAAAGTTTTAGAGAGATAGCGTACAGTTAAACTCATTTTCAGCATATGCAAACTTAATTAGGCGTGGGATGAAAAACAATAGGCAAACTATACCATAATCATTAACCACCTGCTGCCGTTTGAGTTGATTCTGACCCGTTATGATCCCGAGACAGAAGAGAACTCTCACATAGGCTGTCTATGGTTGTAATATTTATTAAAACACACTGCCATATCTTTGTCCAACAGAGTGATCAGAGGGTCCAAACCACTAATTAATTCAAACCTTCTAACTAACAGCCAAACACTTGACCACTGTGCTGTAAAACTCTTTGTTCTTGAAATTAAAAACATTGTTTCCACTAACTTAACTAGCCTTTGGATAACATGGTGTTACTTTCATTCATCTTCTGATCCTCTCTTCCCCACACTTCCCACGCTAGCATTAGGAGAATAAGGATTTCACAAGCTCACACCCAACATTAAATTTTGCTTGCTCTCCTGTCTCAAATTAACTTCGTCATTGTCACCAGTTTGTTTCTGCTGTTGTCTTTCTGAAACCTTTGGCTCGGAAGTGACCTAGATCATCACCGAGTGTCTTGTGCAGCACTGCCAATGTAACATTACTCGACAGGACGCTTCCCCAGCTCCATTACCAAGTTTAATCACTGATTGTTGTGATAACAAACTAATTGCATCTGTTCCAAGGATGCTGGTTACTCCGCATTCCTCAATGGCAGCTTTGTTTTGTAGGGCCGTCTCTAACAAGACACAGTTCATGGATCCTTTTCTAGCAATTGTTCACCCCAGATGCTACTAAGATTTAAATAGCCTCATTGGACGTTTTAAAATGTAAAACTCTGAAAAAAATCTCATAGTAAGACCAGTAGTTCTGCATATGAGAAAATGCTCTGTGCCCGGTGAACTAAATAGATCCCAATGTTTAGATGCCAAAAATAGTATTTATTGTTCTTTATCATGGGGGAAAAAAATGATATTGCATATGTAGTATTTATTATTACTTATCTGGGGGAAAAAGAGTAAATCATTACTAACACCTAATATATGACCTATGAAACATTAATATCTCCCACTCATGTTTTTTTAAATAAATTTAAGCTTTTGTAGAAATTGCATACTCCCAAGGAGTTCTAGGGTTCAGACCAGCAATGAAAGCTAAATGCCCACAATGTAAAATACCTACAAAATGTATTTAGAGCCTTATAAGAAATTGTATCCCTTCTGAATTACCCCCCTTCTTTAAAATACCAAACTAAGGAAAGTTAGAGGTGTTACTTTCTCTTTATTTGTAATACATAAGTACTGCTTGGTTCCCACAAAAAAATTCCTCCATGAGTGATCACTACTGCCCCCGCATGGTTAAGGTTACAATTACAGGGAATAAGGAAACAACCAAGGGTATAGCAAATGCTTCCATTTTACTATATTAAGTCAATTGTGTGTTTTAAGTTTTTAGCATGTTAATAACACATAGTAGCACCAATGATTTAATATGCATTCAATCGAAAGAGAAAGTAAATTTAACATGTCAAAAAGAACAAAGCAGCCAGGTGATTAGTAATGAGACCTAAAAAAACAAATTACAGTGTTATTTTTAAAGGAATGAAGAGAGTTTACATTTTCGTTTTCTCAAAATACTTTTATGTGTAGGCAGCAATTAAGATAAACAAAGTGGACCAGCACACAGTTATCCACTGGCTTGTCTTCTTCACTTAAGACGAGTTCTAATTGATCACTGTGCTGTTGTATGAGTTGATTGTGCTGACGGTTACATGCCACTGTTCCCATAATAACAATTTTTCTTCTTTGTTCAAATGAATTTCCTAATTACACGTGTGATGGGATGTTTTAATTCTTTTCCCTTTTCAAATCCACCTTCCTGTTGCAATGCATGATGGGCAGGCTCAATATTGTGCATGACGCCCGCTACAAGTGTTGGTAGGTGCCAGCTTTGTTTCTCGATTATCTTAAACCTATGGTGCCACTCACAGCCCCTCAAAATCCACTGCTGAGTTTAACGTGTATCTATTGGGCAAGTCCATTTCCTTTTTACTAACACCTGTCAATTAAATGTCATTTTCTATTTAATTGACATGGACTCACTTAAATGTTTTTCTTTCCACACAACAGTTTCCTTTTTGTCACCTTTGGTGGATTTTGATTGGACTATGAGTTCTGGTGTGTAAAAAAAAGAAAATGTATTTCATAAAGTAGTAAACTATATATTTTTATACTAGTAAATGAGAAAAATATACTTTTAAAGAGATAACTATGTATATATATATGAAATAAATATCTATATTTTAACTTAGATTTTGAATGTCTGATTGTAAACACTATATAAAATTCTTGGTTTTTTACTTAGCAAATTAAGCCTGTTTGTGTCAATTTTCTTGATTTGATGGTAACAAGCTTTTTCCCCCCTCCCCTTTTTTTTTCTCTTTCACACCCTCTCCCCTTCTCTCCTTGGAATGTTGTCCTGCTTTGCGCTGTGATTGCATGTCACTCGCTGGTGATGATGTCCTGTCACATGGCTTATTGCTGTGATAAATACCATGCCCAATTATCTACTCCATGTTGCCATGGTTTCCATATTGCTACACTCTTCTGTATGTTTGCTTATATGATTTTCCCTCCGAAAGTTCCCATGGTGCACGGTGCTACGCCAGCCACTGTGTCCGCCGCAACAACATCCGCCACAAGTGTTCCCTTCGCTGCAACAGGCACAGCCAACCAGGTTTGCTAATTTACAGCTTTGTTTCTTAAAAACCAACTCTCATAAGGGCTCAATCCAACAGCCCTTCCGCACGTGGATTGCCCATTGAGGTCAGTGGGAATCGTGTACGTGAGGGCTGTGGAGGGGGCTTTAAGAAGCATGGGGTGTCAGAGATTCCTCTTGTTGGCCTACACATTCTTCCTATGATGGGCAGCAGAAAGCTTGGATGCCATTTTTAAGTGCGCCCGACTTGTCGCAGCTCCATTTCTGAAGCTACTAAAATGGTATTTACACAAGCAATTCTCGTTTTGGCTCAACCAATCACACAGGTGTTTTGGCTTAACAAAAATAAAAGGCAAATTGAGGTTTGCATTCGATGTAATTTGGTTTTTCCAATCTCTCACCTAAATTTAACGAATAAAAAAAAATTAAATATATAACATATGCCACAAATGACCACTCTTGTAAATAGAGTTCCTTGTCCCATGTCAAATAGTTTGGCTTACCTAATAAGCATAGTGTATATTCAAAATAAATTCATGATTTTTTACAGCATCTCAAAGCTTTCATTCTTTAATGAAAAAAAATCCTATGCTCATATTTTCATAATTTCTTTGCATAAATGTTTGCATAATTTCTTTGCAGATTTACTAAGAGAAAAAGAAAACTAGTGTGCCAGATAGGTGACTTGATGACACATAACAACAGCAACAACAGTGTACCAAATTGATAGTCATTCTTTATTCCATACAAGTTTCTCGAGGACCAGTTATACAATTCTTTTCAGTTAATTCCAATGTTAAAGAACCTGAGTCAGAAATTTTAGTATTTCTCTTATGAATGTGACTGTTTTAAAAAAATTACATAACTATTTACAATAAAAAGATAGACTTTTTCCAATTTGTCTTCTATTTAAAAAAAGATTCAGAAAATATTGGTAGAATCAAAGTTAAGTGTATACGCACAAGTAGGTTTTTTGGTTTAAATATATGGTATGCTTATTATGAAGGAAAGCTCCATGGGCTAATAAAGTAAGACAAAATTTAGAGCCAAGCTTAGTTTCAGAGAACACATATGTGAAGTTTTCAATGTAGCCAATTGTATCTTTAAAGAAGTAGTTTCACAAAAGAATCTATGTTTTGCTCCTTGGTAAACAAAGACCAGTAAAAAGCCATTTGAATTTGTAATTTTTTTCTATGGGGCAGCTAACCCTCCTTGTTCTTGCAACATTAGCATGTGATGTTAATGAAAAATTTTAAGCTTTCAGGATAGGCGTTGAAACGTTCAAAAGCACTGTGAAAAGTGCATTTATTTGAAAGTTTCAGACAAACTCCAAACATTTATTGGCAGAGAATCATTTCGTTTACCAGTAGCTTGTCAAAATAGCTCTAGATTTACGCTAAAACATCAGACTCATTTACAAGAATGCTAGACTGCGCATCTGTGGCATGTTAGTAATCCATGGCAGAAACTTCTTAATGGCTTCAGTGCCCTCCATTTATGGTGCAAATCAATGATACTGAACTCTCTGATGAATACCATGTATGATTTTAGAATTGCTGGTGTAAGCAGAACAATAGCAAAGCAAATTTCAACGTGCCCTTGGCCATCTGGGTTGTAGGGGACACTTTACTTCTTGCATTGTGCTGTGACCATTTCATGCATAATCTTGGGTCTTCATACTGTTTTATAACCAAAAGAAGAAAAAGAGAATGGATATATATATACACACATATATTATATCTACATATGCATACATATGTATATGCCTACAGTACATTAGCTATGCTGGAAATAACTGATGCCACAAAATGCAGCCTGCATGCATGCAGAAGTTTATAGCTGGCCCTTCATCTGCATCGATTGGTGTTGAAGGTCCTTGGTATGTTTCGACAGCCCCATCCTTGATGCTTCTACACTGTTGGGTGCAACATCCTGTCTGCAGCGGCAGGGAAAATGGTATGAGAAGCTTCATTATGCTTGGAGCACACGGTCGTGCCATTTGCCAGTGCTGTAAAATTGTGGAAAGATGTCAGCTGAAAAAGGGGAATAAAATAGGACATACTCATTTACATTCCAGAGTATATATATATACCTATATACATATATACATATTGAGCTAGTCTAGGACTTCTGAATTGAAACACAAGTATGAAACACTTTTACGTATGCCATTAAGTTATTCTTCCATCCTCCTCCTAAAATTCCATTAGTACTTAAACGTAGAGTTTTTAAGAGCTTTGCTCAAGATCCACACAACCAGAAACGGGGGTCACTAGTGTCAGAACCTCATATTTTCATTCTCCCAGTAGCCTTCACCTATTGTGCTGCTTCTCCCAGGTAAGCAGCCGTAATTTTGCATGTTAAGAGAATTCGACTGCAAATTTGGGATTTTTGGCTGTAGGAACTATTGAAAGAAGTCACCTCTATTTTGGTTTCTTCTTACAGTTACTCTCAGCCCCTAATTATCTTACCCTTTAAAAGACAATAAAGTACCTAATAAGTTTTCAAATTTTTTTTTTATGCTAACTTAAGATTTTATCTAGTTCTTCTAAATCATTACATTTTCATTCCTAATCTTTTTTAATTTGGAAAAAAAGAAAAATTGAACCCAGTAAGTTCACCAAAAATATAAACATGCTGTGGAAGCACAAAATAGACAAGACACACGTTTTTATTACCAAATAACTGAAACCTCAGGGGTATGTGTGTGTGTTTGCGTGTGTGTGCGCGCGTGTGTAGGCCAACAAAAAAGGGCTTCTTTGAATTACTGCTCTGCATGAATTTTTGATAGTTTAACTTCTCTTACCTCCTAAAAATTGGTAACACTTAATAGAATAGTACTTAATGTTTGAAAGTGAAAGTATTTTCTACTCTGACATTTAAGTTTTCGTTAACGTACTATTATGTTGACCAGCTAAGGACTATCACCTCAGAGTTGAGTTTCATTTTTCTGAAAGAAAAATTTAACGGAAAATGTTTTTATCTCACAGTAGTTGGCTTGTTTACATGGATCATGTAATTTTTATTTGATAGATACCCATAATCTCGGCCGAACATCTGACTAGCCACAAGTATGTTACCCAGATGTAGAGCTTTCATCACTAAGCAGTAAGTTCCCTGTGAAAAATATACTTCTGTATTTATGGTAGTTTTATGAATGGTAACAGTTGTCTAACTCACTAAGAGAACATATCTCTGTTTTTACGTAAAACATTTGTATGTACTTCCTTGCTTTTACTTCTTGTGAATTATGTTGTTTATCACATGAATTTGTAATAAATATGTTAAAATTACCTAAATGTAAAAATTATTGAGAGAGAAGAAATGTTCTCTCTTATTTCACATTAGAAATTAACACAACATGGGGAAAAAAGTTAAAACACAACATGAAGAACTCATGACTTAGTTAAATAGAAGATCAGGAATTGAGGAATTGACTAACTTTAGTTAAGAGGCTAGATGCTCTGCTGAAGAGGGAGGAACAATCGCCTCCTGTACTAGTCAGATCTGATTTGATGGTACACACACACAAAAAATAAATAAATAGATAGTAAATATTTTTGACTATTTGAGTCATCCTATTTTCTGTTATAATTATTCTTACTGCAGCCAGTCCATACTGTTATTATATGTAGAGTATGAAACCAGGCTGAAACAATATGTAACTGAATGAACTTATAGTTTCAATAAAAATTCTCATTAGATACACTGATTTGCTAATTATTGGTAGTCTTAGGAGATTGAGCATAGCAGAGATTTTGAAGAGGGTGCAGGATCAGTAGGGCTCAGAGTCAATTTGATGACATCTAGCAACATTATGATGTTATGTTACACATGCAAGTTACAACTTTAAAGATTGACATGTGCTTGACCCCAAACCTGGAATTTTCACCTCCTTCATATGTGTAGGAAAGTGGGACAAAAGCTAAAGATGAATTGACACCTTTGAATTGTGGTTTTGGCAAAAAAATTGAATATACTATGGAGAGCCACAAAATAAAAGCAAAATTGTTTTGTAAGAAATGCAGCCCGAGGGCTGTATTGGGAAGTAGAGAGCTGAGAGAAAGAGGGAACCTTGTGTCAGCTGAGGAGACAGTGAGGTCACAAGGCCAGCGTAGTGGCCGCTGTGATTAAAATCCACAGCCAAGGCTTGAAAACACAGAACCTTTGCCTGACAGGGTTGGCAGTTTGAGAGCTGTTTAAAAAAGAAATGCTGTTTACTGCCTCTGACTCAAAAAGTCATTGTCACTGAAGAGTTGAAACCTCCGTTGTATTTTCAAGCTGTAAATTGCACGGGAAAAGATTGTCCATCTCTCTCCTAAGGAACCACTAACAAATTGAAATTGCTAGAGAGGCACCACCTTTGGGTGAAGACGGCAACTTCCTGTGGACCTCTCCCCTGGAGATCCTCCACTCTGAAAGTAATCGACAGAATCAAGCTGCAGATAATAGTTACAGTACAGAAACTAATTTTTGTGTCCATTTCTTAATGGCTTTGGTTTTTATTTGTCTTTTTCCAATGTTTTCCCCTTCTTTAATGAATGTTTTTATCATTCATTTACATTGTGTTCCATGCATGTATATTGTGTTTAAGACAGTCCTCCATTTACATTCTATGCTGTTCATTTGTTCTATGAGGTACTTTTTCCTCCTTTATCATCCCACCACCTACTACTCTCATGAAAGCGCGTAGACCGGCTGCTTCCTACCTCATGCCGTAATAGCCCCCTTTCAGATGGCCAATTGCTGATTTGCCCGTCCCTGTCAAACCAGTGCGCTTAGGAAACAAGCATTTCTCTCTTACTGAAGGATTTTCTGTTCAACTTGGAAACTTGGAGCATCTGCATCCATAAGCTTCATCCAGTCCGTAGCAAGCCATCAGGGTGCAGCAGTCAACCCTAGTTCCCAGTGTTGATCACCTTCCCTCCATCCGGTTGGGTTCTGGTCAGTTCATTCCCGACCATCTCTTGCTAGATTTAAATGGGCATCAGCTGCGAGCACAGGAGTCCACGCTTCTCGCTGCATTCCAGACCTATTGGTCTTGTCACTTAGCCCTGGCCCCTGTATTCCAGACCTCTTGGTCTTGTCATTTAGCTGTGGCCCCTGCATGGGACCAAGTTTAATCAATAGGTCAGGGGTCCTCACAACTCCCAGCTTCTCAAGCTAGCAACCCGCTCATCAGCCCCTCTTGTGCATATGAGGTGGGCAGCACGGAAGGAAGGTGTCAAAGTGCGGCCTGTTTCTCCATTGTCGTTTGCCTCCCACTTGCACTCCCATGGGTCCAGGTGGTCGCTATGAGTGAGCATCCTCCAACCTCAAGACGTGGAGGGAGGTGTGATGGGTGCGTCCTTTACCCTGCCTCAGAAGTCGAACAGCTTGTTCTAGTTATGAAAGGGTAGTCCCTTTCTTTTCTCCTTTCTGTTTGCCTTTATTTCAGATGTGAATCTCTAATCAGCAGTCCAATGGGAGTTCATAAATCCATTCGAAAGCACATTTTCTCAACGTCTTGGACGGGACTCAGTCTTTCCCTTTGACCATTCTTTAAGCCCCCACTACCAGATTCTCCTTTTAATAAGCTTATCTCCTGGGCAGACCTTTTTGTACTCCACATTCAGAATTGGCCAAAGGCAGAATTACATGCTTTCTAAATCTACCTTATCCAGGGTTCATAATGCTCTTCTGATCAAAAGGCTTATTTCTCTGGTCAGTGACCACATTTTTATAATCAGTGACCATAAACACATTATTCTGTAGTGTGAACGTTTGTAATTTTCCTTTTGATATGTCAAAAATATCTGTGTTTTATCTTTTATACTATAATGGGTATATCCATGCTAGAAAGATGGGCATATCCATGCTAGAAAGATGGGCGGGCAATCTCTTCCAACTTGATTTAAAACCTCTTAGTACCCACTGGAGTGTCAGTTAAGCATTGGTTCTGACACAGTAGCTCATACAATGATATTATTTATAGATATGTGCACATACACATAGCAGTGTTCTGTTTCTTAGTAGCCATCCAGGTTGAAAAGTGTTGCCACAGTGTTACTGTAAATTCTTCAATAATTAGCAAGTCAGTGTATTTGCCTTTGGTAGACCATGGGTTCTTGATGGTTTTTCTTGAGTGGTTTCACCTTTTATAAGCTTAGCAAAGTGGTAATTTCTAAAAGTTGTGTTCTAAAGCATCCATTGAATATGCAAAGATTTCCTGATTAGAAAAAGCAATTTCCGCTTGAAACTGTAACTTATTAAATCACAATTGCTTTGTAAAAACCTAAGCAAGTGTGTCAGGATTGGCTTTCAGCTCTTCAGCTTTGAGAAGTAAAAAGAAAAATTCACACATTTTACATTATACAAAACTGTAACTTAAAGTACCATTCATTAAAAGAAACAAACAAAAACATAAACAGTAAAAACCATGTCCTGTGCTAATCAAGTACCCAAAAGTCGTGTATACTGCTTAATAGAATATAGTGTTATATGGATTTGGGTACTTGAATACTGTTTAATAGAATATCTTATTGTAATGATTTTCATTTTATAGGCCTAGACATTACCTATGAAATTTATAAAACTTGAGAAGTAAGACAAGTTTAACTTCTTCTCTAATAATATTAGTTTGGGGGGTGTGCGGTTTGTGTATTTTTTGTTTGGTTGGGTTTTTAATGAAATCAGACTATTTTGTTATCCCTTGTGTTCTGTAAATGTATTTTTTTTATTATTTTTTGAATTTTAATGGATAGTTGTAGAGCGGCATCAACAGTTCCATTAATCTGTGTGGGTCATTCCATTTCATAGAATGATAAGTACATTTAGATACATTGGCACTCTTTTAAAAATTCATTTTAATGAATTTACAGAGACTTTGGATTTTCATTCATTCATTGTTATGAATGCTTACCGCCCCCTCCAGTTCGCTCTTCTCTTTGAAAAAGTAAAGTTCTTTCATTGGTGTAAAGCCCCACCCCCCATTTGCACTTTTGATACCCTTGTTTCTACATGGAGCTAAATTAAGATATCTGTGAGTCCACTGCTTAAACTAAGAAAAAGACAATTTCCACAGCACATGTCTATTAGAAAGTGTGTTTAGATATGCTTTGCTTTAATAAAAATCGTTTCTTCTCTCTTGCAGATCATACTAAAGAGGAAAGGACAGTGTGCTTGGTTAGCGTCAAGGACAAGGTCATTAGCCATATTGTATATACCGTCAAGCAACTCACAAAACCCCTCGGCCACAAGACATCCACATCCTGCATGTTAACCAGAAGAAGAGACAACATGGAAATCCACCGCACACTGTTGCCTATACTCTTTGTACATTTAATTGATATTTGTGCTGAGGTGATACTCCTGTCTAAAAGAACATCGTCTTTCTTTTCTAGCACAGAGTTATGCATTAAAATATGCATAAATAATTCATTTCCTACATAGTCATGCCATCTTGAAAAGACAGACGATGGTGTAACCATGATTCTATTATGTATTGGTACGTCTGCAGACCAAGATATAATTTTTTAAAAATAAGTTTATTTCTTTCAAGGTTTACAAATAACAAAGGTGCACCTTGTATTTAAAAATTGCCATTATAGAGGAGAGAGTGCATGCACAGTCATTTTTGTTTAAGAGTAATATTTTTAATGTAATAGATTGTAAGACATGGTGAGGGAGGGATCTGACAGAGATGAATGTGCCAAGCAAAACCACAACTGTGTATCTTTTAAAGCACATCATGGCTTTAAGTACCGTGTTGTTAAGGATTCTCAAAAAGTGCCATAGACTGTACATCAAATTAGAGTATTATTTCTTCAGTGTTATTCTTTTCAGAGCCACATTTTGTTGCTTTCTTGCTAGTACTAATCAGTCAAAGGGCACCATTTATTTTCTTTTGAAACCAAAGCTGTCTCAGAAATGGCCAACTTAACTTTACAGTAACAGTAGACAGCACAACACAAACTCCATACAGATAAACTCACACATACTGGAGATATATATATAATAGATATATAAATATATAAAATTATTTTAATGCATTGTAGTGTAATATTTATGCATACTATACTGTATAACATGTAATTCAAAAGGGATAGGCCATTTCTGAGACACGAGAACAAAATTATTTGAGGAAATTATTTTGCTTCTATTTATAGCCTCTGTCAAAAGTCAAAAAAGACTATAAATGCTTTGCAGAAATGGTTTCACGTTTGCTTAACTGTTTCATCACAGTCACATTCAAAATAGTGACTCTAAACAAAGAAGAAAGCAGCACTGTCTTCAGATGCATGATAAACCAAAATACGAAATGAGAAATGTTTAATTAACCTAGTAATTGGGTGGGATAAGTACATGGGTGAATTTTATATGTGATTTCTTTTTTGTTTTGTTTTGTTTTGTTCAGATTAACTGCTTATAGCCTTAGAAAGCCTTTTAAAAATTAAAACAAATAGATGTGCACTCAGTTTTTAAAAATGGATTCATCCAAAGGAATTCCTTTTTTGTGGTTTGGATGTTACAGGTAGTAAAGGATATTTTTGCTGTGTTCAGCAGTTCTAACAATTGCTGAAGTAGGGGCCAGGTCACTGGTAGTCAAAGTGTGGAATGGGAGAAGTGAAAGTTCAGTTAATAGAACTTTCCATACTTCCAAGTTTACTGCAAGTTTTTATGCTTGAGAGAGATGCTTTTTAATATAAGACTGATGTGTTGATTTTACTGATTGTACTGTACATCTATTAAAGCCTTAGATTATTACATTACGGGTTGGAACCCATACCAATGTAATTTCAATCGTGTTAAGAGAGTAATGGTGACTTCACATGTTATTGTAGTTAGTTACATTATAGACTATGACTTATTTTTCTTGTTAAAATGTAGTTTTTCATTTCCTACATTTATTAGATTTTCATTTTCTATTAACAATTGAATACCATTTCAGTTTATAGACTCTTGTTTTATTAGATTTTACTGATGAATTTTTCAAAAGACAAAAAAAAAATTTAAAGTAGTTTTTCCTTCATAACATAACTCAGTTTTGAATTACATGTAGTGTCATATGAATATTCGTATTATTGTTAACTAAATGATTTATATTTTACTGATTTAATATTATAGTGTAAGAATGTCAGTCATTGTTAGTTCTTGTCTAGTTTTCATTAAAAGAACAAAGATCTTTTATATGGATATCTTATAAATATATAATCATTGTTAAGTAAAAAGTTAAGTTGTTGCTATTGCAACAATCCTGGCAGACAATTGAGTAATATTTTGATGATTTATTTTGTTTGTAATTAGTTATTATAAGAAGATCTAGATCCTAGATATTAGAATAAAATTTATTTTCTACTGTATCCATTTCAAATGTTAAAGTATTGTTTAATATTTTTGAAATCCCTGATTATCAGGCCTTGTTATAAATAAGCTGCATAATCAATAACTAGAACAAGGGACTTTTTGTTGATAATCCAAATACTCAAAGTTTACGAAACGAGAATTATCGTGTGTGTGCAAACTCTTGAGGGTGTTTATGCTGCAATTTAGCATGTTGGAACGTCTAGAGAGAAGGTTGACTTTTTGCACTTCTGTATATAGTCAAAAGAGAGAAACCTGTATAATAGTAAGATCTTATTTTGAATAAAAACCTCTATAATTACAAGGAGTTTTGTTAAGGCTAAAAAAATGACAGACTGAGCAAAATTGCTTGCAAAAGTGACACAGAGTTAGCACTCCATACCCCTTCAGACATGTCGCTTTGCTTTTTGTGGAAAGCTTGTAGTTTGCCAGGATTTTTTCAGCTGGAAAGATATACCATCCTTCCAAGATCTCATGACTGACAAAAAAAAAAAAAACAAACAACTCCATTGGGCCAAATCTGCCTGAAGATCATTACCAAAAATAGCAGGTACTTCAACCATTAAGGTGAAATCATGGATCAAATATTCCTTACATTTTTTCCAGACTACTGCATGTTTAAAACTTCAAAGACAAACGAGAGAGAGAAAAAGAACTATACTAAGGACATATATTATTCAAATCTGTTTCTGACAATTTCAGTGGTTTCTTGTTCGCAAAACAAAAACCTTCAAAAGAAGTTTTGACCGTCACAAAATTTAAACCATTAAACAGGCAAACCAAACAGCACACCGTAGCTATAGTTGTTATGTGACTTTTTTAATTGAAGTAGGATTCCTGTTCTTTCAGCAGGTGAGAAAATAAAACACAGTTTAAAGTTCAAGGTTTTCATTTTCAACTCAGAAGCACTCAAAAAAAGCAAAACGTGAACCTGGGCACTTGTTTAATGAATTCTTGTACCCAGCTTCCCTCCAGCTGGGTCTTAATGTTGCACTTATCAGCAACTGTCTCACTCTCCCCTGCTAAAAGGACAGATATGCTTGGTTTTACTATTATGTAATCACAACTTACTTTCTGCTTGTAGTTGCTTAAAATTATGTATTTTGTCTTGGGCTGCAATTTGTTTTATGCTTATTTTATTATTACTGCAGTAGTTGACTTTGCTGTATGGACAAATAAAGTGAAATTGCCCTAATAAAACTTCTCTTTCTTAATTATATTTGTGTATCTGAGATTGGAGAGTAAGTTATTTATGCGCGTTTCACAGATTCATTGATCGGTATCTTTACAAATGTGTGGATAAGAGAATCCATTATCTTCTTTCAATTGTGATTGTGAGGCAGGTATTTTCTACTTCTCTAGGTTCCTAGATAGCCCTTGACCCTGAGGGTGAGCTTCTGAATCCAGGAGTGTTGTCATACTAAGGCCAGTGCTTAATGAAAAATCTTCCCCTCCACTAACAACACATGTGCTATTAAGAGAACTTTATGTGGAAAAGAAAAATGTTAGATGACAAAGGTCAATTCTAGATCTTCTTTAACTCATATATATTCATTCATTCATTTATTTATTTTCCTTAGTCCACCTGCCCCAGGAAGCAACTATTGGAAATTAGGCAATCAAAAAAAGAGTAATTCAATAACGAAATAGATGATGACACTTGATTCAGGGGATAAAATGCTTTATCCGCACATTCACATATTGGGACAGGCCATGCAATAGCTCAAATGTGGGAGAGTCTTCAAAATTATGAGGAAAACATTTGGTAAAGTAAGGTATAGTAGAAAGATGCTTGATGGGATACAAGGACCCCTAGTGGCATAGTGTGTTGACCTGCAAACAGAAACCGTGGCAGTTCAAATCCACTAGCATCTGTGAGGAAGAAAACGAGCAGTCTCCTTCCATTAAGACCCACTGCCTCAGAAATCTGGTGGAAGGTTCTGTAAATAGGAATTGACTCACGGACAGTCGGACAGTCGGTTGGTCTGAAGGTGTGGTTCAGTTTTTGCAGCTTGTCTTTGATAGAGAGAGTTCATTAAGAAAAAGATCCACTTGTTTGTGGTTGTTGGACATTTGGGTTGTTTCCATACTCTGGTGAATAATGCTGCTATGAACATTGGTGTACAAATCTCAGTTTGTGCCTCAGTTTTATTTTTTCGTTTTCTCAGGATATATACCAAGTAGTGGAATAGCTGGGTCATACGGAATTTCTATGTTCAGCTTTTTGAGGACGCGCCAAACTGCCTTCCAAAAGGTTGCACAATCCCACCAACAGTTATAAAATTTCCTCTCCAACATCTATTACTTGTTACCCTTTTAAACTTTGCCACTGTTATTAGAGTTGAGGTGGTACTTCACAAATGGATTGAGAAATTATGGTACATTCACACAATGGAATACTATGCAGCATGCAGGAGCAATAACTTTGTAAATTATTTCCTAACTTGGGAGAGACTGGAGAGCATTATGCTGAGTGAACTAACTCAGTCCCACAAGGATAAATATTGTATAAGACCGTTATTGTAGAAGGAGTTAAAGGATCCGGGATGGGTGGGAGAGGCTGGAAGCAGAGGGATGTGGATGTGCAGGGGGAAGTGGGGAATTTTTCATTGCATTGTACAATTTGATGAGTAGGGAGTGAGGGAAATTGAAAGAATTTGTTCAAATTTGTATTCAAGTTTTGTAAAGAAATTAGGAGGGGAAAAGAAAAATCTATTGTGAGCAGATTTGCACATTTAATTTTCTCATGTTCCTTTTGATGTTGACTCTACAACTCTATGTTGGAATCAAGGCTGAAGATTCATCTTTGTAGGTTGCTGTTCCCCTCCTCTTAGACATTAAGGCAATAAAATGTAAACTCGTTTTAACTAATACAGTTATGTCATTGGTTCAGTTTTTTAGGATATTCTGTCATTCTCCCTTGAGTCAACTGTTTCAGGTTCCTATTTCCAAAAAGAAAGTATCAGCCCTGGAGATGATAGCCTTTTATTATTATTGTGATTTTAACGAAGGTTACAGAAAGGTTGGGCTTTTATTCATTCGTTGTTGCACATTTTCCTCCTGTCCCTCGTTCTCCCCCCACACTCCACTTGGCAATGCAACTCTTGTTCCAGACTCCTGTTACACGTATATTTCTTCCAGATAGTTCTTCCCCTCATCTGTTCTAGTGCAGTGTGCATTATCTCTCCACTCTTATTCTCTCCCCAACCTCCGTGTCAGTCCTATTTTATAACAACGGTGTTATGCAGTATTTGTACTTTTGTGACTGATATCTTTCACTCAGGATAATTTCTTCAAGGGTCACCCATGTTGTATAATGTTAACAAGTTCATTGTTTTTCAATGTTGCATAATTTTCCATTGTATCTATGTACCACTGTTTTTCTATCCACTGTTTCATGGGGATTTGGGCTGCTTCCACCTCTTTGCTATTGTGAATAACACAGCAGTAAACAAGGGTGAACGTACGTCTGTTTGATTGGTCACTCTGGTTAGAATATATTCCCAGTAATGGATGTGTCGTATCAACTGGTAAAGTCTATTTCCAGCTTTTTAAAAAGCACCAGACAGCCTTCCACAGTGACTGTATCATTTTACATTCCCACCAGCAGTGAATAAAAGTTACAGTCTCTCCACAGCCTCATCAGCATTTGTTGTTTGCTGCTCTGTTGAACTTTGCTATAGTTGCTGGGATGAAATGATAGCTCATAGTTCTTTTTATTTGCTTCTCTCTGATAACTAAGGATTTTGAACACTTCTACATGTGTTTGTCATCTGAATTTCTTCTTTTGTCAATTGTCTATTATATCTTGTGCCTATTTTTAAAATTTTCTACTTGTTTATCTTTAATATTTGGATACATTGTTTTCATGAACACATTCTTTTGATTTCCCTCATTCTCACCCCCATCAAATTGTACAACCCAATGATTGATTCATCACCCCCTTCCCATGCACATCCTCATTTCTCTGCTTCCAGCCACTCCCACCCCTCCTGGGCCTTTATACTCCTTCTACAATAACGGTTTATACAGTATTTATCCTTGTGGGACTGAGTTAGTTCACTCAGCGTAATGCTCTCCAGTCCCTCCCAGGTTAGGTAATAATTTACAAAAGCATTGCTCCTGCGTGCTGCACAGTATTCCATTGTGTGAATGTACCATATTTTCTCGATCCATTCTTTTGTGGTTGAACATTTGGACTGTTTCCATGTTCTTGCAATGGTGATTAATGCAGTTATGAACATTGGTGTACAAATCTCAGTTTGTGCCTCTGTTCTTGTTTTCTCAGAGTATATTCCAAGTAGTGGAATAGTTGGGTCATATGGAATTTCTGTGTTCAGCTGTTTGAGGAAGTGCCAAACAGCCCTCCAGAATGGTTGCAGCATTTTACAATCCCACGAACAGTGTATAAGAGTTCCTTTCTCACCATGTCCTCTCCAACATCTATTACTTGCTGTCCTGTTAAACTTTGCCACTGTTACTGGAGTGAGATGGTACCTCATTGTGGTTTTGATTTGCATCTAATTTCCTGTAATTGAAGCATTTCTTCGTGTGCTTGTTTGCCGTTTGAGTATTTTCCTTTGAAATTCTTTCCATGTCTTTTGTCCATTTTGTAATTGGGTCTTTTTATAGTGTTTTTATTTTATTATCCATCTTTTTCTCAGGAGTATTCTTGTGAATACTTTTGTGATTGTTGTTGTTTTGTGCCCTCAAGTCCCCTGCAACTTACAGAAGCCTTATGTATGTACAGCTAAGCCAGTCTCATCTCCAGAAGAACTAACCCCATTTCCTCAGTCATTGAGTCAGTCCTTCTCATCCTGGGTCTTCCTCTCCTGTACTGTCTCTCCAGCCTTCCAAACATCATGTTTGTTCTTCATGGTCTGGTCCCTCCTGGTCATGTGCCCACAGTGTACGAGACAGTGCTTCAAAATCCTTTCCTCCAGAGAGCAGCCTGGTTTCTCCCTCTCTAGGACAGACTTGTTTGTTCTCCTGGTCGTCCATAGTATGTTCAGCTGTCTTCTCAAGCACCACAGCTCAAAGGCATCATTTTTTTTATTCTATCATCCTTAGTCATTGTTCAACTTTCTGATGCATAGCCAGAAATTGTGAAAACCATGACATGAACTACCCACACCTTAGTCTTCAGTCTGATATCCTTTTTCTTCAGTACTCTAGAGAAGTCCCAGACA